GGACACGCACGGTTTGCGCAATGATTGATTGCCGACGTGGCCGCCGCAAAATGGCCATCAGTGCGTGCGGCGGTTTTTTGCGTGCCCGACGATGCGTCGCGAACATTTTATGCAAATTCCCCGAAGCTCTGAGCATTTTCTGATGACATCGGGTTACAAACTCTCGCCCGAGTGCACCCAGTCTGTGTCCCGAACACAATATGGTGCCACGCATGCATGCGCGCATTATCAAGGCTAATGTCGCCAAAATTCAACTTTTTACCAACAATATTTTTTGTCTCAAAACAGCACGGACTGTGGACTTTATCACTTTGCCGATAAATAATGTGGTAGTTGTTTTTCCCTCATGATTAGGCGTAATCAAATAAAGTTTAGAATGACTTGCAAATAATGAATTAACCGAATTATACAACAAAAAACCAAAAAAATATTGAATGAAGGATGCAAGTGTCATATTTGGCCAATAATTAAATATCTTGAGACTGCCTGGGCCGAAATAACAGTCTCTGAAGCTGAAACATTTTGGGAAAATATCTTTCGCGAAAAGTCTGAAATTAAAAAAAAATATTATATTTCCTATTAATTTCATCTGCGAACGTTTCTCTCTGATTCATCAAATCAAGAACGAGATAGGTTATCTCTGTAAGTTTTTATCAACAATTTAATTTTTGCCAAAATCCTTGGGAAAATTATGCAAATTTTAGCAAGGTACTCACATAATTCAGTAATAGATCAAAAACAAGTTTGCTTTTACATAGGATGAAAAGTAGGTGACAAGAATCATAACAATTCACTTTAAATGCGGTTTATCAACCAAATTACAGATTACTTAAAATTGGGGATGAGGATTTAAATAAAATTGTGATTTCAGATAGATTTAAGATAAAAAAAATAATATTAGGTGAATTAACGTATCTTGAAGTGATTGAGGACAAATTAAAGCTGCAAAATTATCAATTAGTTTGAACTTTTAGCAAAATAAAAATTTATTTTCAAAACACAATTTTAACGTTACACGGAATCAATTTATTATAACCTAGGAGGTCACCCCACCTGTCGCTTTATTTATAGATGCGCGATCAAAACTTTACTCCATCTGCACGCTAATCACCTCCACCTGTCGCGCTAGAAAACTACTTTCGCACGTGTGGTCCAATCAATTAAACTCGCTTCAAAAGTTCCTCTCTGAGGAGAAGAGGCGCGCGACGCGACACCGGATGAAATATGATGGTGCTCAATTGGCAGGCCTTTATTGGAGGGCGATTGTTCGTTGGTGGGGAATTCTGGCTCGGCAGGCCAAGAATTCCAATTTCGCCTCTCGCAGCCGCCTGGAAACGCAATTAATTTTTCTCGCGCCTGCGTCACCCGGATGAATTTTTGTTTCCATAAAGAGAGAAGAAGCAACTTTTAAGTCGGATTAGCAAACTTGGCGGCAAATTGAAAATAAAAAATGAATGCATCGATCGGAGCCGTAATGAAACTGGAAACTTCAAAGGGCCGATTAAACCGCACACGCTGCGATGATTAATTTAGCGCCGGCCAAAGGTGAACGTGCGTTTGCAGCGGGTGTAATGCGGGTTGCCGACTGCGCTGGATTAGCCTAATATGCTGGCAATGCATCGCAACAAACTACTATGTATATTTTCCTTGTGCGGCTAGCGCTGCTCGAACGGTGGAAAAGTCAATTAGCAAGTTGATCTACGCGTAATCGACAACCTCATTAGAACCATTATCTGAGTAATTCGCAGTGGCAACCTTCACTAGGCTTGCTTAGGTGATAAAGGAGAGCTAAAAATGTGTCAATTTATATAACAAATCAAGTTTATGAAATGGTAAAATTATAATTGTGTTGGAAAATTTAAGATTTCCAGACAAGTTCAAATTGAGACATTTTGTTTTCCAAGCACTTTCTGAATCCACAATAAGTTTCTTTTTATAGAATACTTTTGAAATACAAGTTATGATTTTTATCCAAAGCTATTTTACTACTGAAAATTCCAACGTTGGAAATAATAAGAGAACTAATTAAATAAAAATATGTAATTATTAATTTTATAATTTCAGCAGAGATTTTCCACCTAAAAGCTTTTGTTTTTTTCCTTTTCAGTAGAGTGTTTTTGACATTTGTCCTGAGGGAAAATCAAATGGTTGGGTCTAGGCTCTGCGATATAATTAATCTCATCTCAAGCGTTATACTAAATCCAAGTTAGTCGAAAATTAGGCCCCGAACTGCGCGCAATTAAGCAAGTTCCTCCGCCTGCCGGGCTTAATCAAAAGAGACATTACTTCCGATCGAGTGCGCAAATCCCGCGCGATCCGAAGAGTTTTTAAGTCCGAATCTCACAAAAGTCCGTCGCTCGCTCTCCCCGAAGAACCGTGTTTCATCTCCATCTTTTTTGCCCGCCATTGAAAAACTTTTCCACCTCCACAGACACACAACATCTTTCTGCAATCCCCTTGATGGCTTTCGCTGTTGTTTCGTTTACATTCGCGATTTTAATTAAAATGTGCATGAAACTCGAGCGGAGTGTATAAATAAATAAAAGCGGGGGACTCTTCCCCGCGGTGGGAATCCAAACTTTATTTATTTGGAACGGGATTGATTGCACACAATGGGATTGAGGGCGGCCATGCAAGCGTCGCAGCAACTCACATCCGCGTCCAAAATTTGCAGGTTTTTTTCCTCAATAGTTTTTTTCCAACAATGAGAAAAACACACAAACTTTTCTGTTAACGTGGACAAGTTTTTTGTAGGAAATGGAATGTTTTTATAGAAACCAGTTATTTATTTTATTGAAAATAAATTAAATCTAAAGTTGACTTCAAAATCAGGCAATCTTTATGAACATAGTCCAAACATATTAATTGAGTTTGGATATTTATTGATTTGTATTAATTCAAAACGGCACATCCTTGATGGGATCATTGAGCCAAATATTGTTTTAAATACATTTTTTTGTAAAAGCAATATTGTATCTTTCTGATAAAACAATATTACTCTAAGCCGATAAAAGAACTGTTATTTTTTTATTCAAAGCAACATAGAATTATAAATTTGATTAACTTTTAACAAAACATTTATAGTTTCATTGCAGCAACAATCAATTAATTGTTTTAAATTATGAAAATAAAAGTAAATTCAATTTATTTGCAGAGTTGGAATTATTTTTAATTATATTTTGAAAATAAATTAAATACATTAATATTAATGAATCAGTAAATTTTTAAAGTAATTAAAATTAATTTTTTCTCTGCTATTTATTATTTTTTGCCATTGAATAATTTAATGTTTGAGATATATTTGACTAGTAAATCGTGTGGTAAGTAATTAAATGCGATGTGCGGCAAATCGCGATTCCGCAAACAGGTCACACACATGCGAGGATAAACACCAAGCGGGCGTGAAATGACGCCGGCCGCCGCCGTAAATATGGCACACTAGGTTGCGGTGTCAATGACGAGAAAAAGAAAGATCCTTTTATGGCCTCTCTCGATCGCCATTCACGGCGGCGGCGGCAGCGAAATTGGAAAAATGCTTTTCCTCCTCGACTTTCGCTTCTTCCGTTCGGGGCACGCGCCGCGCTTGACAATGCAAATATTTGAGTTTTGTTCTGGCTAAAGGGAAATAATGTCGCCGTTTCGACTTTTGGGACCTCACACGGCGACGCAGCGGGGATTTTCCTTCTAAAGCGGAAAGAAAAGGAAAAGGTTTCGAATGGAAAAGAGGAGGAAATGAGTTTCTTGATATGTCTGTCCTTTGAAGATTTTCAATTACATTTTGTGTGAAAAATTAATATTTGAATATTTTAGAAGGTTATGTAAATTTAATCTTCAGGATGAATTATGCAGATTCATTTAAGAATTTGACCAAACTTGGCATCTAACAAAATTCTATGATTTTATTTATCAAAAGTTTCACAAACGCAAGCTATAATTTTGAAGTGATTTTGTGGAAAATTAAATTCTTTTAACCTTCAATTTTTTTTTTAATCTCGATAAAAAAGCATTGATTTTTTTGCACGGATGAAGTTACAAATTAATAACAAACCGTTTCCATTTTGACTAATTATGCTTCTCGTTGGACGTTCATTAATATTCTTCCAGCTTTTTATTAAAACTTTTTACTCGCGAAATTAGAGCAGCTGGAAATTAATGCAGCGCTCTTTCATATTCCGACACGGCACAATTTGCATTCTCCGGCGATAATGATTAAATACTTAATGAGAGCCAATTAGCTCCGCGGCAGTCCTGCGGCTTATTTCCTTCGCTTTATCTTTTAAAAACCGATTAATCCAATTTTCAAACAATTGTTTAAGTAAAAAAAGGAATAGCCTTGATGAAAAGAGGCGAATTTGCAAAATCAAATCTCTTGTTGCATTAGCAAGGCCAAGCTCGACTTCAATGACGGAAGCCTTGGAATGCTATAAACGTGCAGTTTGTTTAACTTGACACTTACTTGCGAGTTTAACCTACACGCGACTGCCTTGAAAACATTTCACCTACAGACACTAATTTTCCTCATAACTTCTTCATAACATGATGATAGTGTACATGTTTTTGTCAAATAGTTTAAATTTCTCTTCATTACACTTCATTATAATTCATATTAAAATTTTAAACGTAAAAATTATTGAATATTTTGAATTTTAAAATAGTTTATAATATTTCGCTAGTATTCAAATTAATTATCAATATTAAAAAAAAAAAATATTTACATTAATTTGCGCGTTTTCTTTTTCAAGGGAATAATACAGTAAATACTGACTTAAAAAAATATAAATGCGGAATTCGAAAATTAATGTTTCAGCAAAATATTTTAAAAAGTGCCTTCTTGTTATTATCCTTTTTGCTTTCCTATTAATACCAAATATTAAATTCATTGAGCATTATTTTCCCGCAAGTGTTTATTTCATGATCAATCTTTTTATAAAATAATTCGCGTTTCGAGCAACGTGTCATTTCGGCGCGAAATAAAATAAATAAAATTTGCTTGCACTTACCTTGGGCGTCCTCAGATGAGTCCTGCATGTTGTTGTCAGGGTTACACGCACCCTGCGTGCTCTGCTGGGGAGACACGCCGCTACTGAGCCAGCCCGCCGCTTGTTGTTGCCTTGGTGACGTCACCGTCGGAGGCCCCTCGGCCGCGCACGCGCCCCCTTTGGACACACAAAACACTTGGTGAGAAACGACGAAGATGGCACCAACCAACCAACCCCAACCAACCCCCCTGTCATGCACCTGTCAACCGGGTCGTTTCGCGCACAATCAGCCGCCGCCGCGAGAGCCAATTTCGGCTGCAAAGTATGATTTATGGCGCCCCCGGACAAATAATAATCTCACTCGTCAGACTTAACCCTTCTTTGCACCTGGGCCTTTGTGCGGTGACAGACCAGAGAGGGAAAGTTACAGTGTCTTGGACTAAATTGAAAAGCACTTCAAAGTGTCAATATTGCAGTGACGACGGTCTGAATTTCATATCTAATTTACAGAATAAATTAATTTTGTCAAAACATATTGAAATTTGTTTCACTTTGACAGAAACACATTAATCTTGAGAGAGAAATTGTGATTTTTAGTAAAATATACGAGAAAATAACTAAGTAAGCAAAGGTGTTGAAAATCTTTTTGCAATGAAGTGTGTTATTTTTATATATTTTTATTTGATATCTGATAAAATCGATGATTTTGTCTCAAATTAAACTTTTAAATAAGTATAATAAAAACCCAAATATAAGTTAACTAAGTGCATTTTTAAACATTTATAAATGTATTTTATTTCATTTTAATTATTAAAATTTGATAATTAATAATATAAATTGTTATTTTAAATATTATTCATTTAAATTCCTACGTTTCACCATTACTTTTATGTTGTATTAACTGGTGTTAATGAAAGAAATACGGTTTTAATTTCTTTATATAGGTCTGTAATTAAAATTGTCATTGCTACCAGAAATTATCTGACAATGAAACCAATGGATACTAACATAATGCAAATCTCAAACTTCTTCACATGTTTAATTAATTTACCTATTTTACCTTACGAGCTGCATAGCTGGGCAATTAATCTAATTATTTAGAAACTATTTTTGTAAAATTTAAATTACTATTACATAAATTAAATATGCTTAAAATTAATTTGGTAAATAAAATAAAATTAAACATTTTTTAAAGAAAATATTAGGCTAGATATAAAAGTAAGCAAATATTAATATCATGTTTAAAAAAAATTGAAAGTATAGAGTTATACATACGAATATAATTTATAATGTCCTATAGTTATAAAAAAAAATATTTCCAGAGTTGTTTGAATTAATCTAAATTCGGCATTGTCGTTGGGTTTGCTAGGGTCCAAAATTGTTTCGCAGACATAATTCATTGTGATATTTCTATATATTTTTGAGAAAAATAAAGACATTAATTACTTTTCACATTTTTTCAGGTATTTCTAAAACATTTTTTTCAAAGCTTTCAATGTTTCGTTTAAACAATTTCAATCAAAAATTTCTCAACAGTTAAATTCTAAAATGAATTCAAAATTTTAAAATCAACGTGAAATTCTTCGGCCTTTGCAGATTGTTATTTCAAACAAGAAAAGCAGAAAACGTCATTATTTTGCTTGCAAAGTACTCAAGCCTCTGAAATAAGATTTACAGAAGTTGCAAAAATAAAACCTCGTGGGTTTTTTCTTTGAGCCGTTATTGTGCGTCTTGGGACTTTTCCGCTCGGCTGCGCAACATGACTTTATTTATCCCGCGCGTGTGTGTGTACAAAGGGAGAAATGTGTGTGTGTCTTGTATTTTGTGTTCTTGCGTGGGGCGGCTCATTATATTTCGCTAACAAGGACGGCGAGTATAATTGGCTGCTGAGGCTGAGTCGGGGCCGTGCAAATGAAATCTCGATCCCGGAGAACGTTTCGCTTGAGTAATTTGGTTGCTTTGCGAATCGGCCTTGCTTCAACCGCAACCCGAAATTTTGGACCGCCATAATTAATTGTCGACGACTGGCGCAAATATTTGCCCGCAGGTGTTGACGGATCTATATTTACTCGCCCATGCAAGCCTCGCTCCCGCCGTAAATTAATATCTTGGATGCTCGAATTGTTCGATTTGGCGCAAAATGCTGCGAGCACAAATTTCAGCCTGCAAATGACACTTCGCTTCTGTCAAGCGCAGACGTACAAATTATCTTGCCAGCGCCCCAAGACGCTTTACTAATTAGCTTCAAAGTATTGAAACTCATTAATTTTACTTCATTCCAAACGCTGGTGAAATATTAATGATTTGGTAAAAGCAAACAGCTGCATGATCTTAATGATTTTAAGCCTCAGTTTTTAAAAAAATATTTCCTTTAAATGGATAATTAATTCAAATTGTGCTGAATGTTCTCACTCACAGAATATTATTATAAAAAATTCAGATTTTCTTCATAGAGTTCTTAAAATTGACTAATTATTAAAATTTAATTCACAAAATTGCAGACATCGATTCGCGCCATAGATTTATATTGATACATGTAATTTATCAATAAAATACAAAGTATAAAATATATTATTTTATTTTAGAATCAATTTTTTTAAATTCTTCTTCAGTTATTAAATTCCTTGCTACTAAACGCATTATAAATAATATAAAATTCATAACGATTCATAAGTCAAAATATTTGCAATTATTTAATGAATTTAATCGAAATTACGGTAAATAATTAAATAAATAAATAAATAACAAAAAATACAAATGATATAAATATAAATTAAAAATTGTTTACCTTGTCTCTTCGCGCGGGCCGGGCTGAATGCTTGCATGAAGCGGTTGGTGGCCCCCGCGAAGCCCTCCTGGGGGCCGTTGGGCGGCATCGGGGCTTCAGAACAGAGCAGCACTTTGCGGGCCGTCTCCGGCAGAGACACCACGGTGCCCATTCTGAAGCTGACCTCGCGTGTCCTGTCTCACGGCATCACACTTTCTGCAACACAATAAACAAAAAAATATATACAATTATAATCCCTCTTATGCTGAGACTAATTAAAAAAAATCACATAATTTTACACTCTCAAAGTAAAACATTTATGAAAAAATAAACTAGTTTCGACATTGTTTTTAATAAAATATTGAAAGTTTGTGAGACTTTTAATCAATATTCTTTTGGAGGGGAAGAAAACGGGCTCTGAAAAAATATTCTCAGAATATTATTCTGTTTAGCAACTTCAGTAAAAAAAGCGAAAAGATAAATAGAAAAATATATAAAACAAACACAATAAAGACCGATAAAGATAAAACACTATTTTCCTTGTCTCGACCAAAAAAATAAACGCTACATTTCAATTTATTGCATGTACTGAATATTCAATTCAATGTCGATTTTGTATGTACATTTTTCCAAGCCTCAACAAAAAGATGATTCATCTCCTTTTTTGTCAATTACCAAAACATTCTTTATTCAATACCGTGCGAGAGCGAATAGCGGTCTGACGTCAAAAAAGTATCCAATATTTCATCGACGGGCACATTAAAATTACATTTCGCTTGCCGCGCAAAGTTTAGAGGCGGGATGGGCAAAAAAACTAAAAAAACATACGTATTTCATGAGACGATCCAATTGCACAAAAACCCACCCACCTTCCGTGCACAATCAATTCCCCGAGCCGAAATCCCGGCGGCTCCGGCCGGGCGCGAAAAACGATTGAAGCACTCGAGAGAGCGCCTGCAAAATTGGCGTGTCCGCAATCCGGCCCACTCGCGTGTCGTGCCGGTTGCATTACCAAATTGATCGCGGTGATTAATTTCAGACAAAAACAATCCTCCTCAATGAAACCCAAGCCAGACTGTCTGGTTATTTTTTGCTCTCAAACTTTTCCTCTCTATCGAGCTCAACTAGTTTTATTTCTCCGGCGAAAGGGAGTGAAAATTGAGTTAAGCTTTCGCAGCACACCTTGTGAGATTTCTTTTTCCCTCTTCCATCGCTCTAGAGAGAGAAACTCGGTGTTTGATTACACGCAAACTCTCCCTCTGCTCGGGCTACAAACAAAGACGCAATAAAGAGTTCTGACTAGTTTTTGATGAGTTCGGGACTTTTCGGATCTTGAAGTTTTATAGAGGAAGTTGCAAATATTTTGAAAACTTGAGGGGTTCTGCGCGTTTACAATTGGCAATAAAATATTTAACAGCTTTTTCGTGACGTTCAGGCTTTGCTTTTTGATGGATTGAAATTGACCTATTTAATTTAATTGGCAAAGCCAGAAAAGTAAATATGAAACTGATAAATGGAAAAAGCCCGATTCATTAATTTCCATGATCATCTCCTTGAGTGTCAACTTCTTCAAACAAAGAAACTGATTAATATATATGATTTCATTGCTGATGATCCTTTTATTGCTTAAATTCCCATCGACAAACATTTCCTGCGATGATAATATTTTGTAAAAACACTCATATAATTCAATCAGTCACATTGTTGCATCCTCAAGATTTGTATGTTTTGAAACCATTGATTGAAATACATAATATTAAATAATTATAATATTATTTTAATTTTAAGTTGTTAAAAAAATTTAGATTTACTAAAAACAATGATTTTTAAATAATAAAAAAATAACAAAAAATTAACTTTTAAATTTAATAAGGAAAAAAAGTAAATAAATTTTGTATATTAAAATCACAATAAAAATTATAGCCTTAAAAACACTTATAAATAAAAAAATCTCAGCATGTGGAGAGAACGTGGAACATGGTACGAAATTAACTTGTTAAATTAATCTGGAGCACGCTCACGGCATTTCAGCGGAAATTCCACTGTAATATAAAAAGCCTGTCTGTACCGTCCTTGTTAATAAAACAATGTTTTGCTCGGCCACTCCAAAATAAACTCGAGAGAGGGCGTGGAAAAACCTTTGGTGCCGAAGTTAGCCTGGAATGTGCTCAAGACTGGCAAGGCCTTTTGCGGCAAAGAGAGAAATTTCGGTTAGATAGGTTCGTATATCTTTCTGGAATAATGAAGACCGTTTTCAAGTGCTTCGTTATTTTAATTCCACGCCTCGAGCGGGGGTGAAAAGAAGAAAAACAACTTGCTGCGAGGGCGAAAGATACATAAATGTACAAGCACACGCAGGCAGGTGGGAAAAAAAAAAGGAAGAATCCCGTGCGCAGAGAAGAAGACTTGATTAATTAAAAAAAGAAACGCGAGCGGAACTTTTTGAAAAAAGGAGAGTGCGGGATGTCGAATGGACGCGCAGTTGTTCTACTTCCCTTTGTTGGCGGCGAACAAAAGAAATCAGCGGCGGGAAAAAGCACTGCATGCAATTTAACGACACCGGATCGTGAAATTACTTCAGCAGAGCCCAAGTTTTACTGCCCAGCTCTGCAGATAAACTTGTCGAAAGGCCGCTGATGCATTTTAACCGCAGGCGATTTCACTCCACAAAGAAAGTGTCCGTAATGGTTCCATTTAATTTTTAAGAGTCGTACAAAGTTGGACCTCTTTTTGTTTTTAATTGAGAATTTCTAAAATGAAAATTATAAGGATCTTTTCATTTAAAATTTCAAACCTGTTCGCCAAAATATAAAAAGAGCATTTCCATGAGTAGGAATTTGTTTCGGAAAGTTTCACATAAATGTTTGAAAGATTTTAAAAACGAATGTACCAAAATTTTCACTTTAATGTTTTTTTTTTATAAATTTGAAAACAAACATAAAACGTGTATTGCTCTGCAACTGTGAATAAAATTTCACCATTTGACGTACTTTTTATAAAAAGCCGAACAACTTTTCTATTGAAATTAAAGCTGTAGGTCAAATGTCACGGTCACGTTTAAGCGATTTAATGTTTTTTTAGTGAAAAAGTCCAATTTTGGTGATTGCGGCCCCTTTTGATTTGTCTGCAGGTATAAGAATGAATGTTGCTCGTGTAATTCAACATTTATTATGTAAATTTTAGAAAAGATTAATTTTCTGTTTTCTTTCAAATGGCTCCTGAAAAAAAAAGGTGAAAGGAAACAATTTTTTCCTTTTAACGAAAAAAACTAAAGCAATTCCTCCAAAGGCCCTGATTCTACTCATGGAAATGCCCACAAAGTTTCAGAAATCTTCAAAATCGATTTTTGAATAAATTTACCTGCGGTATTAATTTGATTTTTTATTAATAAATAAATATTAATAATTTTTTACTAATTTCTTTTTAACTGTCTAGTTGAGGACGAAGTGCTGGTCTTTTGCAGCCTGCCTAACTTTGTTCCATCGATTTTTAGTCCTAGCTTCTCTCGCTCAAAACATCAAAGGAAAGTTGAGTTTCCCGCAAATTAATTAAGCCAGCCGGGTTTCGCTTTGTGAAAAATTGTGCTGGCCCGCGCGTCGTTCTCATGCTGTCAGTTTTCCTCAAAACTTTTCTATGTTATAAACTTATAAATGTAGCCGTCAATTTTTGATGAGAGAGCGAGCGAGGAAAAGTTTGGAGTGAGCGCAAAAAGCGTGGAAAGAATTCTCGCGGATCGATATTGCAGTGCCAATGAAGGCATTTGCAGAGTAAGCGCCTTACTTGGGCATAAGTAATGCTTAGTATTCAGCGACGAATGCAAAATGAGCGAGAGACTAATGGTTGGCCTCGCCATTCACAGATTTCTATACAATCGAGGGGAAAATGGCGACCGATTTGCTTGCCTTGTGCATTATAGATTACAATCAGAAAATTGGGCATTTACTGCGACTCGATGGATGGCGGATTCGCGTGCAGCACAGAGAAAAATAATGGAAAAGCAACAAGAAGGTTGTTGCTACCTCTACTTTACCCTTGTAAACTCTTGAGAACAAAAAAAAAACACACAACGAGTTTTTCTAGAAGAATGAGAAAAATGTTTTTGAATTTTAAGCCGGCTATTACTTGATAGTAATCGTGCGTATCGTTTCGTAGAGAAACTACCTATAAACAAAACAATGAGCTCAAATAACGTTAAGAGGAAAAACCTACTTTTAATCCAAACATCACGAATAAATTCTTGAAGAAGAGGAAGTAAAAAAAATTTCTACAACAAAGAGAAACAATATTTTCTGTGACTCATCAATTTGCCAAGCAACCTTAAGCTTCATTTAAAAAATTCCAATTTCTTCTGGATATTAATTATTTACCCATTTTTATAATTTATTTTTTTAGTTAATAGTTGATATACAAAACTACTGGAAAAGAGTTCATGTAATTAGTCTTATGACGACTTCTAAATATTTCCAAATAAGTTGAAAAGCTGCCGTATAAATATGATTTAAAAGGTAATTAAATACTTTAATAAGTATTTACAGAGACGATCGTTATTCTAATATGCAAATTTATGAAACAAATAGGTATAAAAATATATTTAATATTAATAAATTTAAAAGATATCAATGAAATTTAAAATTAACTTCAATAGTTTTATGTATTGAATTAATATAAATAAGTTGATTCTCTAACTTTCATTCAATCGCCATTAAATACATAAATTAATACTTGAAATGATGTGTTTGAATTGTATCCGTCTTCTGATTGATGCGTTGATTGAGTCATACTTAGCATGAAAGAGATGATTAAGCTTCTATAGTTAAATTTCAATTTTTTTTTTAATATTGAAGAATGAATTAAAAAATATCACTGATTTATGCTTGAATTTGATTTTTTTTTCACACCAACAGTAATTATTTATTGTTAATTTGTTTAATTTTTTTTCTTTCAATAAGAAAATTGACCCTTTTTACCAGTTTATCAGAAAGATTGATTCACAAAGAGGCACCGCAACTAATGGTGAGCCCCAATATATTCACCAAAAAAATTCTAATTTTGGTCCCTTCCGCTTAAACTCTATTCATTAGCGTGCCATTTCACACATTTGAACGATGCAAATTCGGCGAGATTGAAACTCTTTCAAAGAATAATGCGGTTAGGGTAATCCATGGAATTCGTTTTTCGCCCCACAAAAGACCGCGTCTCTTTCAGGCGAAATTGAATGAGCAGCAAGAAGCGCAGCCTCGCTGCGAGAGACGCAAATGTGTTGGCATTTGAGGCTTCCATTCCGGCTGCATGCAAATGAGGCCATTTACTGCTCTTTCGCCAACAGGTCGCTCGACCGCATGCAAATTTCGCCCATCTGACAAAAATCATTATTTCCCTCGGTGCACCCAGAACAACACTTTTCCAAAACTTAAATTGGACTCGGCGCATCTGCAGCCGAATTTCAATCACTGTCCCGTTTTTTGCAACTCCAATTTCGCGCTCCGGGTGTGCGTACGTTATATTTATCGGAGTTTCGCCTGCTTTCCCTCTCTGGTAAGCGCATTTTGTGATGACGTCGTCAAAAAGTCGATTTGCGCGACAGCCGGCTTAAAAGCGGCTCTGGCTCTGCATTTGACTTTTAAGAGCTTTTCTGTTGAAAAATGGAGAACTAACTCTCTGAAAGCCCACTTGGCCCGTGCATTTGTATTTGCGTTTATAATTTAAATTTTTGGATATAATTTTTAAACTAAAATTTCCCATTAACAAGTCTTTGGGGGAAGTAATTTGTCAATAATTATAATTCATAATTTTGAATTTATTGTTATTTCGTATGGTACATAAAAAAAGGTTTACTGCACAATTCTTATCATTTCTCTTAATGACATTCAACTGTATAATTTTGTATTAACATTTGGATGGATCGCTTTTCGTGATAGATCAGATCAATAAACTCGATTTGGACGATTTGCAACTCAAGATGGAGAGCGCAACTAAATTCCATGCAAAGATTTAACTTTCTTAAGGTTAATTCTAATTCTTGAAAGAAATAAACTTAGTTTATTTTTATATTAAAAAATGACAATAAATATTTATTTGTAATATTCATTTATTTTTAGTTTTGTAAATAAATATAATCAATTTACTGATCTTCTTAGTAGATCAATTTATAAACGAATTATCCATTTATAATTCAGTTATTATTATTTTAACAACCACGAATAAAATGCATCATTATAGAGATCATTTTAAAGAATTGTGCAATTTCAAGCAAAGATTTGTGCTGATTAATATTTGAAAAATAAAATTCATATAAAAATATCATAAAATGGAATATTTGATTAATACACTTTTTCATATTCATAAATGATTTCAATTAATTAGCAATGGTACGAATAAACATAAATAAAAAAAACAAGCGAAAAAAAGAGTTTTCAATTAACTCGAATCCTGATAGTTCCACCTTTTCCTGTTTTCAAGCAAATCTGCATTTATATGTTTTATTTAAATTCAACTTACAATTCAGTTGAAATTAAGATTATACAAATACACTATATTATTTACTGTTTCATATAAATCAAAACATTTCATAGACCATTATTCTCATTTTCAGTGTACTCAAATGTTGGGTGTCTGATAAACTTTGTCGTCGTCGTTTGTAAGTTAGAAATTATTCAACGTGCTCGGTGTTCACGGTATCTTGATTTAGTGAAATTGAGTTCACGACCAAAGTCTTGAAAGCTGTATCGCCGCCGCAATCAATAAATCAATCAATATCGAGTTATAAAATATGTCACGTGAGAGGCTCAAGGCAACTTTCCCATTAAACAGATTTTCACTCACAATGCCAGCGATAAATTGCAAGAAAATTTTCATTGCAAATATTGAATATTAATAAAATGAAAAAAGACTAATCTCTCATTGTGAGTTAGAATTTAATATGCAACCAATTTTGACATTTTATGATTAATTTGATTAAAAATAAGGGAATTAATTATTTTTAGTGCTTCTACGAATATGTAAATACTTGTGTAATTAAATTTTATACCTTTAAAAGGAGAATTTTGAGTGGAAGAGGAGCTGGGTCGGCGTGAGCGGCACCAAAGGGAAGAAGAATCAAGAGTAAGGGCCGCGGTGTGGGCAGGTGCGCGGGGTCACTGCTGCGCGCGAGTGTGTCACACGCACACATCCACGCGTGTCGCAACTGCTGGAAAAGGTCGACTTTTTCCGTGTCCATCCGCACAGATTTCCCCTGCGCCCCAAGGGCTGCCTCGCTCGCTCGCTCGCTCGCACACAACGAGACCAACTTTTCCGCCCCAGGGGCTGCCTCGGTGCTCAGAAATTCGTACCGCGGGCCACGTTTTGAATCGCAATCCCCACCTGAATAAATCTGTGTGTTTGTTTCTCAACACGAATTATGCATTTTCAGGCGGAGGACAAAAAGAAGATCTGAAATTGGGAAAAACAGTTAAAGCTGACAACTTATTTTGGGACTTATTATTACTTTTATAAACTTCTATTTTTTAAGTAAATTCTTTCGTATTTTTAATTGTGAGATAATTTTTATTCATTTTTCCACTTTTTAATGTTTAAATAAAAAATTAACTCTTAAATTGAACGTGAACTTCAGTTGTTTACTCAAAACCCAATTGGCCTAGTTGCTTTTGAGACGCAGCTCGAAAGCATATTAAATTTATTTCCGGCCGCGTTTAAGCGTGCTCGACTTACGCAGTAGAAATAAAGCAGCTTGTAATTAGAGTTAAGCAGCATTTGCCGTGGCTGCGACGTCCTTTAATCATTTCCCGGGACGCGTCACTTTTGCGAGCAAAGAACGTTTCCTTCCATGTGCAGAGTTTGTTTTGTCTCAAACAAAAGCGCAAAGGCGCTCAAGCTAATTATCATAATGTGCCTGAGAATTAATTTAATTAGCAAGTTGCCGAACAGCGACCGCGCTCGCTTTGCGTCATCTTCGTGAAATCAAATTAAACTGTTTCACTCACTTTTCAAAGCTAATTGGGATTTGAGCAAGTTTGCTCAAAAACTTTGGAAATTTCGAAAGTTGTTCCTTAACAAATTAGGCAGAATTTATGTTATAGGAAAAATTTATCATAAAAATTCCTGACGAATTCAACTCTTATAACAAAAACGGAAGTATATATAATTAAAAATCATATCGGGATACCAGTTGGGGAGGGGAATGATATTTAATACTATCATTTTTATTAAATTTCTTTTTGGATAATTTTGAGGGCTTCCGTAAAATACCCTCACGTGGACAAAGAAAAAAGTAAAGAAAACTCTGCAAATTTCTTCCGTCCCCGAGTCAAATTTTGTATGGTAAATTTTGTAGCGCATTTGGTCAAATTTGCCCGCGCTTAAATCGGAGGAATGCAGCCTCGGCGGGCAGAAGCGCGAGAAACGGCAAATCAAATAATTGAGCCTGGCGAATGTTAAATAACCTTATAGATAAGCGGTTTTTACCCTACCTTGGGGACGCGGCGATGGTCCTTGGTCAGTTTGAGGTCCTCGGCAGGTCGGCCAAGTCCTCCGTCGGCTCAAATTCGGCGAAAGACGGGCGAGTTTCGTTACCGCGGCACCACCGCGGTTGATCCGAGCACTGCACGAAAAATGCACTTTCCCTCCCTCCGTGGCCTCCTCCATCCTGCTGCTGCTGCTGCTGCTGCTTGATGCTCAAAGGCCTCAAAGACGAGAGCGAACAAGTCAGGACAGGCATGAGACACGTGTCGCGTCCTGACTTGTTCGCTCTCGTCTTCGTCGTCTTCCAACCCAAGCAACAGCAGCCGGCGGAGCGAAAGTGTTCATTCCTGGCTCTTGCAACGAAAGTCGCCCGTATTTCGCCGAATTTGAGCCGACGGAGGACTTGGCCGACCTGCCGAGGACCTCAAACGGACCAGGGACTATCGCCAAGGTAGGATAAACCGCGTTTTAAAATTTATTTCACATTATTTACATCATATTTGGTTTGCCGTGTCGGCCCCTCTCGCGCTTCTGCCCGCCAAGGCTGCATTCCTCTGATTCGAGCGCGGGCAAAAAAATGCGCTACTAATTGTAAAACCAAAACATTTAGCTCCGAGGCCCTTTTGCGCATGTTATCTTAATTCAATCAACTTTTCCAACGTTTGCTCACCACCTGTAGGATCATATTAAGTATTTTATATAAGAAAAAGTTGGCACTAAGTTATTTTTTTTTTAAACTGTATTATTTCTACTCACGTGTGCGGAGTTTTAAATTTTTGATAAAAACAATTCGCCATAAGAAATAAATTAAATGACGCACTCATTCTTATTTCATTTTTGCGAGCGTCAAGAAGAATTTTAGTCATTGAGCAGAGACAAATGAAAGAAATTTTAAGAAATTGAATATGTAACTTGGCTTATTTTGTTTCTGAGTTTTTGACGGTTTTTAGTGTCATAAATCTTTATTTTTGTAAAAAAGCTTCATTAAGATTATTTGTCAACTTTTCCAAATACATGCATATTTTGCAACAAAGAAAGAATTCCAATGTCAGGTGGGAAGGGAGAACAATTCGGAGAATTGCAATTACCGACGGCGCAGACAAGTGCGAATGAGTGCGTAAAATTGGAATGGCGAGGTTGGATCGATTTGAGGGAGGCGTGGATGAGAGAGATAGAGCGAAACGCGATGACCAGAAACAACAAGAAATCAATGCTGCAGCTGCCACGGGCTATTTTCGTATATTTTTGTTTTCCACCTTTTCGCCTTATTTATTTAACGCCGCAGCGCAGGTGTTTCCTCTCAAGAAGAAAAGTTTTGCGACAAATTTTCTCTTTCAACGACGCACAAAAGTAAGAGATCGAATTGCGAGTTTGTGTTGACACTTTTTTTAGCCTCCATTTGTGCAAATTCACGCGTGACTTGCACCCGAGAGGAAAATTACGTTGCTTGCACAACTCACGACACAGTTATTTTCTTTTCTAACAAGCCCAAAGCGCAAATCGTCCTTTTACGTGCTCCGAGAGCTGTTTACAGACCAATTTACTTTTTCCCTCCATCATCCATTGTGGATAAACTGCTCTGACATATTTTTATTTTTGAGTTTTATAAACATTTATTATTTCTTGTAAAAACCATATTTTGTTTAAGGTTTAGCAAAAGCATATTTTAGTGTTTTTTTTTTTCAAATTGCAAATGGAAATGTTGTATAATATATATAAAAACCTCTCATTATAGTAAATGTTATTAAAAACTAACAAAAAATGTAAATTATTCATTTCTAATTTATTACAATTGATCAGTTTTTCAAACGTTAAATATTATATATTATTTTTTAAATAATATTTCAAAACATAAAGATAAACTATTTTTTATTTATTATTATTTCTGAACATAAAGTAACTTTTTAAATTATTAAACCTTTCTAATAGTGTTATTAAAGTGCAAAAATTAATTAACTTTAGAATTCGCTGTATTTTTTCGTGAAGAAAAAGACATCTTAGAGCATTTAAGAATTACTTTTGCATTGCAAGTCTATCCTGCGGAATATATTATATGGAAATACAGAGGCCGAGGGAAACTTGTTTTGAGAGACAAGTTGAAGTGGGCCAATTTGCAATTCCATCCGAATTGAAATGGTGAAGAGGCCCGCGAATGTTTCCGTCGGGGCCTCCGCAAACGTTCCTCGAGAGCCGCACCTAATTCAAGATAGATTGCATCCGTCACAGCAACTTTATTTACGGCAGAGTCGAAAATTTGTTTGCTTTTGAAAAATATTTCTCTCCTTAACCGCGAAATTTCTCTGCGACATCATTTCCTTGTTAGGCATGAAACTTTCGTCGTCTCTCATCAAAACTTTCCTAATAAATATGAATCTGCGGCTCATCTCACGTATGTTATAATATGTTGCAAAGCTCCGTGTCTGCCATTTGTGTGCCTCGCCAGCTGCAGAATTACGCAAAGGGGTGACGAGAGTTAAACTCAGCCCGACTCCTCCTCCTGGCAATAATGAGCGACGAACACAATGCGCCTGTCTCACCCTAATTAAAGGAAATATGCCAAATGAAATGAAGTGACTTTGAGTGAAAAGAACTCGATAAATGGGTCCTAAAGACACCTTGCTTTCCCGGAAAATCTTGTGTGTAAGCGAGTAATCAATTTGAGAAATAATAAAAGTGCAGATGTGACGTCGAAAAGGACGCTTCGAGCCGGCGTGAAAAGTATTTGCATCACCATTACTTCACCTATATATCCGGCCGACCGATGCACCGTCTCTTCCAATAATTCTTTTGTTCCTTACTAATGACTTGTCACCAGCAAACGCACACACTCATGCCTGCATTCCTCGCGTTCCCCAATTTCAAAAAGTACTTTCCCGTGGGAATTTTGAAATAATTTTGACATATTTGAAATCTACATAAAAAGATGAGATTGGCGCAGTTTGAATCGTAATTCTACGACAGTTAGAAGTGAAAGTAGTTCTGGTACAAATAATTTTTATTCAAAGTTTTTATATCATTTCGATCTGTTCTGATCATGATTATAAAACTTTGAATAATTTTTATCATCAATATTCAATTTCTTTCATAATACATGATAATTGATTATTTTATATTGATAGAATTCTCATTTTCTCATACTCGGCCAAATTGACACGCGCCGCTGTTTCGCCGCGCGCGCACAGACTTTTGCGCGAATGCAAATGTTTTTTAGAACGCGTTAATCTAAAGAATTCAAAATTTCACCGTTGGTAGGTAATGATGTAAAGTATGTTTTGATGTGCTAATCTTTAATAAGTCTTAATTATGAGCGGAGTAATTAACGTTTCCGCGAGAAATTTGTTCTGGCTATTTAAAAAATGAAGGAAATTTTTTAAAAATATTAAAATAAAGAGAAAAATGTTGCCAATTAAATTTCCTACAAATTCTCTCATAGATCTGATGACGTCAGAATTTTTATTGCTTATGTACAGAAGACTTAAAGTCAAAAAATAATTTTTTTACTTATAACAAAATTTTTTTAATTTTTTTCAAGATAGCCAATCGATTGGAAATTTAATTGTCAGCCTAGAACTCGAATTTCATCAAAAAATATTCAGCCGTTTTGAAATTGCATCTCTCTTTCCAAAGAGCGCGCCAATGCCACTACTCCTCTTCTTCAGCAGATTGAGGAGTCGTTAAATAATTTTTTCTTATTTCAAAACGGCTGAATATTTTTTGATGAAATTCGAGTTCTAGGCTGAAAATTAAATTTCCAATCGATTGGCTATCTTGAAAAAAATTAAAAAAATTTTGTTATAAGTAAAAAAATTATTTTTTGACTTTAAGTCTTCTGTACATAAGCAATAAAAATTCTGACGTCATCAGATCTATGAGAGAATTTGTAGGAAATTTAATTGGCAACATTTTTCTCTTTATTTTAATATTTTTAAAAAATTTCCTTCATTTTTTAAATAGCCAGAACAAATTTCTCGCGGAAACGTTAATTACTCCGCTCATAATTAAGACTTATTAAAGATTAGCACATCAAAACATACTTTACATCATTACCTACCAACGGTGAAATTTTGAATTCTTTAGATTAACGCGTTCTAAAAAACATTTGCATTCGCGCAAAAGTCTGTGCGCGCGCGGCGAAACAGCGGCGCGTGTCAATTTGGCCGAGTATGAGAAAATGAGAATTCTATCAATATAAAATAATCAATTATCATGTATTATGAAAGAAATTGAATATTGATGATAAAAATTATTCAAAGTTTTATAATCATGATCAGAACAGATCGAAATGATATAAAAACTTTGAATAAAAATTATTTGTACCAGAACTACTTTCACTTCTAACTGTCGTAGAATTACGATTCAAACTGCGCCAATCTCATCTTTTTATGTAGATTTCAAATATGTCAAAATTATTTCAAAATTCCCACGGGAAAGTACTTTTTGAAATTGGGGAACGCGAGGAATGCAGGCATGAGTGTGTGCGTTTGCTGGTGACAAGTCATTAGTAAGGAACAAAAGAATTATTGGAAGAGACGGTGCATCGGTCGGCCGGATATATAGGTGAAGTAATGGTGATGCAAATACTTTTCACGCCGGCTCGAAGCGTCCTTTTCGACGTCACATCTGCACTTTTATTATTTCTCAAATTGATTACTCGCTTACACACAAGATTTTCCGGGAAAGCAAGGTGTCTTTAGGACCCATTTATCGAGTTCATTTCACTCAAAGTCACTTCATTTCATTTGGCATATTTCCTTTAATTGGGTTGTTCCAAAGAACTTTCGTAATCTACGAATCTCTAACCTTGATTGATAAAGTCTTTGGTAATCATTACGGAATTCAATTCAATAACTGACTTACATTTTATTAATTGTAATATTGTAATAGTTTTTAGAAGAAGAAGGATAATGCAATTACAATTAAAAAAGACATTCCAACTTAAAATTGCGTCGATTGGAACGCGAGTGCAAGAAAAACCAAAAAGCAAAAGCTAATGAATTAAACAAACCTTGTTAATCTGCTTTGTCGCCTCGGCCGTTTTGATGACGATTGTCGGCCAAAATCGGCACGTCCAACAAAGACTACTATGCATGATGAAACTCCAGCTGATACTGGTCAGTGATCATATGGTCTGAGATGCAATTATCACTTTTTCAAT